CTTGTGTTATTGTCCGAAATTCTAATTCCACACTCAATTTCACAAACACATTTTGTTTCTTATTTCTTAAAATGACTAAGTTGCTACAAAAGAAGGTACAATAATCTGTAGTAAATCTTCTGTTTATAACCGAACCTGCATAATCTGCATCAGTATAAGTACTGCAATATTTTGTGTAAATGTACTTCTTTCAAATTGTGCATGAATTGATTTATAACACTTATTGCATAAGCAATGTCATGTCTCATGTGGAATAGGTAGATCAACCTTCCAACTCATCTATGATATATTTTCTTATTTACTATCATACTACTATTCTTAGTTTGCGATTAGGACCAACGCGTGTACTGGTTGGTTTCCATACTAACTTACCAGTGTCCTTTAATAGGTCAGGAATGTATTTTTGTTCAGAAATAAAAATATCATATTTAGAACAGGTAACTTAAATTGTCAGAAAATACTTCAACTTGCCTACTTGCTTGATTTCGAATTCTTTTGTTAAGACACTGTTTTAGTATTAATTGTTTATTCTTACTATTTTCTGTTATGATAATGTCATCAACGTATATTAGCAGAGCTGTAATTCTCTTTATTTTGAGTGTTTGATGAACAAAGTATGATTTTTTTTAGTCTACTTAAATTCTAGATCTACCATCACTTTTGTGAACCTGTTAAACTATACTCTTAGTGATTGTTTAGGTTTATACAGTGCCTTATTTGATCTTACTTCTTTGTCAAAGCATGGTAAAATATCTAATATATAGATTTTTTCTTTTACATCTCCATTTAAAAAAATATTTTTTACATCAAACTACAGCAACTGTCAATCAAAGTGGGAAGCTATAATAATAAGATTCGCACAGTATTCATCTTGACTACTGATACGAATGTTTCCAAGTAGTCTATCCCATATGTCTGAATATAACTTTTTGTCATCAATCTCACTTAATCCTCTCAATTGTCCCATCTTCTTTATATTTGATTGAGAAAACTTATTTACATCTCACCAGTCTCTTGCTTTTGGGTACACTCACCATTTTCCAAGTTTGGTTCTTTTCAAATGTTTGTATTTCTATACGCATAGCATTTTTTCATTTTCCATAGGACAATTATTGTTTTAGGGATATATTCATCACTTACAAGAAAATTTTATGGGTCAATAAGAATTTATTAAATGACAAATTGCAAGATAGAATACAAAGGGTGTTTAGTGCATTCTCTTGTACCTTTACAAAGTATAATACATATGTCATTATTAGAAGATTGTATAAATTTTATGGAACTTATCTCAATTCAGGGATCAATGTTAGATTCTTGGACTGACTTTGGCTCAATATTCAGCATCTTCATCTTTGTATATATTTGAGAAAACCTATGATCTGTTGATGAATTTTTGAGTGGGCTTTGATCATTCTCTTATGCCAATAAATTTGTTGGTGGGTTCTTAACGTTCTCCTGAGGTGATGGTCTTAAAGGTGTGTAACAAAAGTGGTGGCTAAAATTCGCTGAAGATTCTGTATCATCTTCCAATATAGGCTTCTTATAAAGATAAGGTTGTTTGGGTAAAGTAGGAATCTTATTTAACAAGTGGAGTCTACAGATGCATAAAATTTTTAGGTGAGTAAATGATAACATTTGTACCCCTTTTAAGATGAGAAATATCCCATATATATACATTTCAGGACTTAGGGATCAAGTTTTCTTGTCTAGTGAGAATGAATATAAACAAAGGCAACATACCCAAGTATCAAAAGTAGGTAATTTGTGGCACTTGCTGCTGGTCAAATTGTTTAAGTATTTCAAGAAAAATTTTGAAGTCAAGAACACTTGTGACAGACAATTAATAGTGAATGTGGCAGTAAATATGATTTCTCAAAATACTAAAGCATATCCCCAAATTGAAATTTCCACCTGTGAATTTTAGCAAATTTAGGCTGCCTATCGGTTCACAATAAAAGACTATTTGAATTTGTCTCAATTAATCTGAACCACCCTAAAGGAAAAATGAAAGCTCAATCACCTTCTAGGTACCAAACCAACATTTGATCCTACATTTAGTGCCTGGAATAAAGAAGATTTCATGATCATGACATAGGTTTGGAACTCCATAACTCCAGAACTAAGCAAAACTATAAAGTTCTTTCTACAAGAAAGGCAGTTCAAGATGTAATCAGTGGAATAAGTTCCAAAATCAAGGATGCTGCATAAATTTATAACCTAACACTCAAGACATGGTTTGTGAAACAACAATATAGGTCAGTGAATGAATATTTTAATACATCAAAAAACTGGTGGTAGGAACTGAACGAATACCAATTTAGACTTGCCTATCGGTTTACAATAAAAGACTATTTGAGTTTGACTCAATTAATTTGAACCACCCTAAAGAAAAATGAAAGCTCAATCACATTTTAGGTACCAGACCAACATCTGATCCTACATTTAGTGCTTGGAATAAAGAAGATTTTATGATCATGACATGGCTTTGGAACTCCATAAATCCAGGAATAAGCAAAACTATAATGTTCTTTCTACAAGAAAAGCAGTTCAAGATGTAATCTGTGAAATATATTCCAAATCAATGACGCTGCATAAATTTATGACCTGACACTCAAGACATGGTTTGCAAAACAAAAATATAGGTCACTAAATAAATATTTTAACATGTCAAAAAACTAGTGGTAGGAACTGAATGAATACCACAGTTTGACCATAGATTGCAGCAGAGATGCAACCCATCTCAAAAGCTTTGTAGAAAAAGATTTTTGTAGAATTATTTTTCTGTCTTTTTTCTTTTTCTGT